CAAATAAAACAAATGAAGGTATAGTTTACAGGGAGGGGGGAGGGGGGAGGGGGAGGGGGGAAGAATAGAGATTAACAAGAGTCAAAATGAAGGAGAAAACCTAGGAATAAAATGATGGGCTCGGATCTGCCCTTGCATCAATATACACAAGGTTTGTTGTTTTATTTTCTGCCCTTAATATTCTTATTACTCCATATATTCTTTGATTTTTTTGAATGTGATTTCAAATTCCTATGAGGATTATGTGTGTGTGCTTAGTGACTTCAAATTCAATTTTTGCTTTTAATGTTCATTCGAATGATCACGTGGTTTCTTGCGGTTAATTTCATCTCAATGAAACCCTCAAAGAATTATCCATCTCAATCAGATACGACGTCTCACGGTTTTTCTTTTATTGCTTTGATTGTGAAAACAGTATTTTTTTAGCATACGCACAAGGTGTTTGTTAAATTTACTCTACTGGTAGGTTCTTTTCCATCAACCATTGTTAGGAATTAGAACTATTAAAAGATGTAAACGTTAGTACTTTTAATGATCTTTAACTCGAATTTTTAACTTTCCTGGTAGTTCATATCAACAATGGTTCAAGTTAAAGATGAGTTGACTTGCTCCCTTCAATGAAACAAGAGAATATGTGCGCAGTGAATAATGCATAAGATGTGTGTGTGATCGAAAGGATGCTAACTGATAAGTTTTACATATGGTATACCAAGCAGGTTGCAATGTTTTTTTTTTAATTTTAAAGAATTTCTTTATTAATGTATAAATGGATGAATTTGCTATATCTGTGTAGTGATAAATGGCACTCCTTTTTTTAAACCTATATTTTTTCATAAACCACATGTTAATTATGATTCTTCATTACCCTTTTGTTTATATTTAATTTCCACTTCCATTGCATACAATGTATTCTTTTAGTTCTCAATTTTATGATCATTGAATATTTATGTACTTCCTTTTATGTTATCATTTTAAATTGCCGTTTATAAGTGTGTATTCCAAAACTCATTACTAAGAGGGTGTTTGGCAGTGTGCTGCTTTTAACAATTTAGCTTTTGCTTTGGGTATAAGTGATTTTACTCTGTTTGGCATATCAACTTCTGCTTTTCACCACCACTATTTTGTACATAGAATACCGTTTCGGAGAAGCAGGTATGAGGTGCTTCTGCTTTCAACTTTTGTAAAAATCACTTTATCCATAAGTTAATCACTTCCAAACATCCTCTAAGTGAAAATTTTAGAGCTGCTTACTTTTACTTGGTAAATATTTTAAGGCTATGCGTATAATTTACATATGTTATGTGTTATATATTTTTAGACTCACACGATGCAGAACCATGATTAATTCTGATTGATATGTCAAAGAGAGTAGCATATTCACACATACATGAAGTGGTTAACAAAAGAAAAAAGGAAAATAGAAAAAAGACATTTGATAAATCATGTATTATTAATGTCTTTTTATCTAAGCAAGTGTGGTTGTAGCTTTTAAACAAAGAAAAAAACAACACAGAAAAAATACACTTGGGGCCCGTTTGGTACATGGAATTCAAACTATGGAATTGGAATTGAGGACTTCAATTCCAATTCTGGTGTTTGGTAGCACAAAAATTATGTGGATTTGGAATTGATAGGGCAAAAAATGAATTGAAATTGACAGAATCCAATTCTATGGAATTGAATCCCATGGAATTTCAATTCCAATTCAATTCAATTCCACCAATTCCTTATACCAAACGGACCCTTATGTATTACTATTGTCTTTTTTGTCTAAGCAGATATGTCTTTGATAAGTTTTCTTATTTTGGAAATACATTTTGTTTTATCACAGTGCATTGTGAAAGTCCGAGAGCATTATTGGAAAGAGATGCTACCATACTTGAGTGTGGGATGATCTACCCTCTCTGCTCTAATGCTCACTCCCATCATGACAATAACTTCTGTGTACTTTGAAATTTAAATATTCAAATAGCAAATAATAGTTATATTTGGTACTCATTGGTATGCATTATTTGGAAAAGTCACTAAGGGGGATGGAAGATTGAGCAGTTGTCCACTTAGTATGAAGGATCTTTCTAATGGTATAAGCTTCATTCTATAATGGTAGCATTGCTACAAATTGAACTATCCTAAAAACTGATTGCAATTTATTTACTTCATGATATTTATGTGACTTAGTATGCAGCTTCTTTCTGTTTTGTAGTTCTATGACATTAATCTTTATACTTTGCATACACTTTCTTTCTATGTTGTGGTTCTATGACATCTATCTTCATACTCTATATTTTCATTTATCTTTTACTTCTAATTTGATTGTTCTTCATGCATGTGATCTCAACCAGTTAACCATGATAAGTCTCACCTATGAAAAGTTGCTATAATTCAAAACGCAGCACACTGTCTAAGTTGTTTACTTTGATGTTATATTTTTTAGGCAAAACACTTGCTTCTGTTGGCGTAAAAGATATCACTTTTTACATATCCTTTTAATTTCTT